GTGAGTCTGTGTGTCCGTGAGGCTGGGCTCTGAGTGACAGCACAACTGCCGCGTCTTCAAGGTTAAGCACACTCACCGTTTTAGTGACCTCAGTTACGCGGTACAGGACGAACTGGTTGCCGCTTTGGTTTTGGCCATTGTGTTTCTTCAGGGCAGCATCCACAGCCTTAAAGACGTCCTCATCGTTGCAGTCGATCTCCTCGGAGACCACTTCTTGGCTTAAACCTGGTAGCAGCCTGGAGCAGAGGAAGAGGATGGCGATTAGTTTCATGATTTAACAGCCTCCCTTAGGAGCTGAGGGGTGTCTTCGCCAAGAATCAGGATCCAACGTGGATGCTGGGTTTTAACAATCCTCGCTTCTTGTCTCTGTCCTCTTCTCTCCACTTCAGCACTCCAAGACCCCGCTTGTATCCCTGAACCCATACGCTGTTTGTCCTTTGGGGACAGGACAAACAGCCCTGCTGGGTTATCTAAGCTACTGTGGGACTAGAACATTACAACACGGAGGTGGCTGACCTGCTTGTTTGCATTCTCGGAGCACGCGGGGGCAGAGTGCCCTTCCAGGAGATTGCGCCACTTAGAACAGCAGCTCGGAGCAGAATCTAACGCAGGAGGGGAAATACCCGCCGGCTAGCTCCGTTATGCCCGTGTGACTTTCCCAAAGCCATTTACCAAGGTCACTGCGTGTGTCAACCACGAGTGCAACGTTCAGACACTTTCCACACACAATCTCCTTGCAGAAAAGCAACCTGCATAGAAGCGGCTGCTGTCAACGATACTGCTTGTCCGGGAAGTCCGCGCACAGAAGTGCAAATATTTTGGGTGCTAGAATGTGTCTGAAAGTCCCACCCAGGTCATTGGCATGGCTGGAAAAAAAATACGGGCATCGGATGTGGTCTCCACCCAAGTCACTGTTTCTGCTCAGTTGCACTGATTCTGTGAAGGGAACTGCTCCCCAGGTTGGAGGAGACAGAGAAGCATTGTAAGACGTGGGCCTAGTAAAGCCCTGACTTTGATGAGTGTGGGTGTTTTAAATTCACCAGGCCTAAGCAACCCTTTTCCTTTCTTTCTTCCCTCCTTTCTTCCTTCCTTCCTTCCTTTTTCCTTTCTTTCTTTCTTTCTTTCTTTCTTTCTTTCTTTCTTTCTTTCTTTCTTTCTTTCTTTCTTTCCTTCT